TAGTGTTTAGACATGATTTTCTTATTTGAAATATGGTGTTGGAGGAAGGCTCTACAGATACCCTGGACAGCCAGAAAGATGAACAAGTGGATCCAAGAGCAAGTTAAGCCTTCAACATCACTGGAGGTAAAAAAAAAACAAAACTGAAGCTGTCTTACTTCAGGCACATCATGAGGTGCTAGAAATACATTTTGATCTTCTAGATATAGTCCAAGAATCTCTTTATTTGTGAGACAGGTCAGTAGTTGGTCCAGTAACTGATGTTCCACAGTTGCCTATGACAATGAACAGACCATTGATTCAGTAGTCCATCACCTGCAGAGATTTCTAGATGATAAATCCCTGGGTACCCAGTGGATGCTTGGGGCTTTTCCTGATTCCCAGGTAGTCCTAAGAGATTTCACTTTCTCCTTTCTATTAAGCAAAATATGTTGGTCTTTCCCCTTATTTTTCAGAGTCAGAGAAACTCAAGATCAGTCTATGATAACTGCACAGGGATCATTTTTTTTTAAATCTTTATTGTTCAGATTATTACATTTGTTCCTCTTTTTTCCCCCCATAACTCCCCTCCTTCCAGCTCCCACCCCACCCTCCACCCTCACTCCCCACCCGCTGAGTTCATCCATAGTTGCATGATTTTTGTCCAGTCACTTCCCGCATCTCCCACACCCCTTTCCCCCTAAGAATAGTCAGTCCATTCCCTTTCTATGTCCCTGATTCATTATAATCACCAGTTCATTCTGTACATCAGGTTATTTATTCACTTGATTCTTAGATTCATTTGTTGATAGATGCATATTTGTTGTTCCTAATTTGTATCTTTACCTTTTTCTTCTTCTTCCTCTTCTTAAAGGATACCTTTCAGCATTTCATATAATACTGGTTTGGCGGTGATGAACTCCTTTAGTTTTTCCTTATCTGTGAAGCTCTTTATCTGACCTTCAATTCTGAATGATAGCTTTGCTGGATAAAGTAATCTTGGTTGTAGGTTCTTGGTATTCAGCACTTTGAAAATTTCTTGCCATTCCCTTCTGGCCTGCAAAGTTTCTGTTGAGAAATCAGCTGACAGTCGTATGGGTATTCCCTTGTAGGTAATTGAGCCTCTTTCTCTTGCTGCTTTTAAGATTTTCTCTTTGTCTTTTGCTCTTGGCATTTTAATGATGATGTGTCTTGGTGTGGTCCTCTTTGGATTCCTTTTGTTTGGGGTTCTCTGTGCTTCTTGGACCTGTAAGTCCATTTCTTTCTCCAGGTGGGGGGAGTTTTCTGCCATTATTTCTTGAAATAGGTTTTCAATATCTTGCTGTCTCTCATCTTCTGGCACTCCAATAATTCTGATATTAGACCGCTTAAAGCTGTCCCAGAGGCTCCTTACACTATCTTCACACTTTCGGATTCTTTTTTCATTTTGCTTTTCCAATTGGGTGTTTTTTGTCGAATCTTTGGTTTGATTCTTGTGCTCCTCTGGTCTGCTATTGGGTATAATATTCTTTATTTCAGTCCGTGTATGCTTACTTTCTAATTTCTTTATCGTAGCATCGAGGGTCTCATTAGTTTTCGTGAGGCTCTGCACAAATTTATGGCAAGCCCTCAAAATTGCGATTCTTAGCTCCATATCCTCCATTTCTGTCATGTTTTTTTGTCTCCGCATCTTATATGCTTTCTTGGTGCCCCCCCTTGTGGTCTCTGTGCGCAGTCTTGTTCTAGCCAAGCCTTAATTGTTGTAGTTAACACTAGAGGGATTTGACCACCAGGCCGACTGGCTGTAGGAATCAGCTGTGGAAAACATCTGTCTTCTGGGGAGGCGTTATTCCAGCCTTTGCCTGAGGCGGTAGGCAAATGGTTGTGCGCAGGGCTTGGGCGGGGCGGGCTCAACAGGGCGGGGGGAGGGAGCAGCTATGGCCGCTCTCAGTCCGTCCCCAGGGGCTCTGCCTCTCTGTCCCAACAACCACTGCAAACCTCGGAGGGGCCGTAGCCAGACAGTCCCGCTTCTCCCGTTTGAGTCTGGGTCCCTAGAGACTCGCCCGGATCTGTAGCCCAGAGTCTGAGACTCGCTCCTGATTGAAAACGACAATCGCGCCCTCAGCCTCCAGCCCGCTTTGCGCGCGCACCCTCACCACCGCACCGCCGTACCTTTAAATTTTCCACACTGCGCCTCCGCTGAGCGTCGGAATGCTGTTGTTTTTGCTTCTAGTTGAAGAGACTCTCCTCAGCCAGCCTTCCCGTGGTTCTGGTTGATGTCCGCTCCGACTTTTAGTTGTATTTTTGAAGTGGTTGTTCGAGGCAGCAAACTCCGGTGTTTACCTATGCCGCCATCTTCCCGGTGACCTCCCTTCCCTCTGCACAGGGATCATTTTGTTAGGGAGTCTGAGTGACACTGAGGACATTAACTCAAAGGTGCAATTTCTTTTATTACTTATTATAAAGCAGTCACCCACTAATTTATCTTTTAAAGTAACATATATTTCAAACTGACATCAATTCTTAGAATAAAATGTAGCACCCATCTCTAAAATGTAGTTTATTATCAGTATCTACCTCATTCAAGCAGGAGCATGATAGGTAATAGGGACACAAGCAGATATTTGATCATCTTCTTATTTTTTTTAAAAAGCAGCATCTTCATGTTGATACTGCAGACCATGACATACTTTCTCCATTCTAACTCAGTTTAACTGACACAATTTAAGTGAGTTTCCAATTGAAATATGAAAAATAAATTATTCTGGGGCCAAGTGAAGATTTTAAGCCAAAAGGTAACACAAAGCAATTCTTTGCTTTAAAATTAATTTCATGTCTAGTGTAGGGTCACTACATTTTTTAAAGGCAAGGTTTAAATGCAAGTGCATGAAATTGAGAAATAATACCAATTTCCAAGAATAAAACTTCAATTATCCAAAATCATCTGGGGATGAATGTTCTGTTTATATCTACTTTCTAGATAACAAAGTTTATCATATCTTGGGAATCATTTTCAACTGCATCATATACTTCCTTGACTTTTTCTCAGAAACATACGGATTGACTTGTCTGCACTGGGGGTCATTGGGATGGTAAAGTGCGTAGAGCTGTTGACCTTGCCTTGAATGCACGAGCCCATAATACTTGCCCAGTGACTTTGGTTGGGTCACCTATTCCTTTGATATCCATTAAAGAATATATATTCCATTCTCTTACCTGCTTCTACCTGCTATTGCCTTGAGGAAACCAAAGAAACAATCTCTGTCCCATGCACCAAAAGGTCACAAGTTTGCTTCCCAGTCAGGGCACACACCTAGGTGTGAGTTCGATCCCCAGTCAGGAGGTGAACAGGACGCAATGGATCAAGGTGCCTCTCTCACATCACATCAATGTTTTTCTCTCTCTCCCCATTTCTCCCATTCTAAAATCAATGTAGAAATAGAAACAATCTCATTAAAATTATTTATTAAAAGAAGTTTTTTTAAGTCACTGAGTGAGGGAGTAAAAATATTGTCAATGGAATTTAAATTCAGGGAATTTGTGTCAGTTGTCGGCTTGACAGGTATGTTCTGGATGATTGAATTTCCCAGTAGTGTAACTCTAAACTAAGTGGCTTCTCTTCTCCTTAATGATGAGAGAATTCTAGACGATCTGTGTTCTAATGATACACCCAGTTATAGACCCGAGTTTCATAAAGCAATAGCATATTGTTGTAGAGATTTAGAGTTTAGACCTCTATCTATTTCCAGCTCTGACACTCCCTAGTGGTATGACTTTGGATAGAAACTTACCTCTGATAGATCTTATCCCCTTGGAATGAAAAGGAGTATAACCTGATAAGGTCTAAGGTGCTTCCAGCTCCAAAAGCCATTATAAGGGACTGGAGATCACCAAGAGGAATCTCTCCCGGTAATATATGATATGTGAAGGTAATTGTGATGTTATGTAAAATGAAGTGAAATGAAGGCCATAAGTACAAAGTTAAAAGGGAAATAGGAACAGAACCTATGAGTCAACTTATAAATGATCTGCTCTCCTTGGTAAAATCTGAAAAGTATCATCATAATAATTATTCTCATAACTGATGCCACTGACATAATTTTTAAAACCTAAGCTCCAGCCTAAGTATTTTATTACCCTTTTCAAAATAAATGTATTTGTATATATGTACTAGTGGCCCCTTGTACGAAGATTCGCACAATAGGCCTTCCTTCCCCTGGCTGCAAGCACCGGTTTTCTTCCAGCACCCAGGACCCAGGCCTTTGGTCCGGCCGCAGCAGTGAGTCTTGGCTTCTCTGCTCTGGCTGCTCCCAGCTACTCCTTTTTTTTTTTTTTTCCAGTTCCTCGAGCAGAGGCCAGGTCTGGCTGGAAGCCTGGGTCGCCCCTGGTGATCCAGGCCCCCAGCCACTCCTTGAGCTTAGCCCAGGGCGGGCTGGAAACCTGGTTCACCCTGACAACCCAGACCCCCAGGCACACCTTGAGCAGAGTCCAGGGCCTGTGGGAAGCTTGGCTCCTCCATCGACGGGAGCAACCCAAGCCTCCTGCTCACTCCAGCTCTGTGGCCACCTCCATCTTCAGTCATCGCTGTGAGCCTATGTATGCAAATTAACCGCCATCTTTGTTGGGTTAATTTGCATAGTCACTCTGATTGGCTGGGGGGTGTACTGGAATTGGGGTGTGATGGTTAATTTGCATGTTTCTCTTTTATTAGTGTAAATATTTGTGTTCAACAAGAATACCTTAAAAAAATTCTAGAACTTCAATTAACTTATATCCTTTGGGTCTGTCAATTGAAATTGAATTGGTCTATGGATCCCTATGTTGAGAAATGAATATGTTTACTTGGGTACAAACATCAGTTAACTTGCCTTTTGGGATCAAGAGCAAGGGTAAGATAATGGTGGTGATGAAAATATAAAAACTCTCTCTTTGGAAGACTTGACCCCAAGGTAAGTGGGGATAAGAATAAATTAGGTGTAGGGATTAACACATTGTAAATGCAAAGTTTCTCTTAAAGAAAGACTTTATTCCTATTAAGGCACAGCCCAATAATAGAGTTAGGATGCATCTGCATTTCTCCTCTTCAACTTGATCCAGATGCCATTAGTAGGACGAAGAATTAACTCTCCTGCCAGACCGAGTTCTTCTCTTTTCTGGTTGGATTCTACCCAAAAATGCCTCAGGATGCATGAAAGAACGACCTTTTCTTCCATCATGGCAAACCTTTGACCTTCATATTAATGTAAATAGCATGACTTTAATTACAGATATATCTCAAATGGGAGAAACAACAGGTTCCATTAGAGGGAGCAAGTGATGTTAGATTTTCACAGCAGGCCCTGGGAGAACCAGTATCACTCAGGATCTCAGGATGCTTCCTAATAATAAAGATCCTTGAGTGCCCTTCTGGCTCCCACCCAGTGCATCTGAATAGCTCTGAGGACAAGGAATCTAGCCCACGCAGCACCCAGGTGAATCCTGGGCTCATTGAAGCATGAGAACCACTACTCTAGAACGCTTTCCTACTGGGCCTTTCATGTAGTTTACTATAGAGTTACCAGGCCTCATTGTACCAATGCCTGCATTTACATAAACAGTAAAACCCCAGGTATACTAAAGCCAAAAGTGTTTATAATGCTTGGCGATGTGCATTTATTTTGTTGATGTATTTCTGCTGGTCCTATGGTGAGCATTCTTTGTTTTGGTTTTGAAAAAGCAATTCTTAAAAGCAATAAAAAAAAAGGTTAAAGAAACTAATTGTTATAAATAAGCTTTCTACCATATAAAGTATATTCTACTTCAATCCAGAGATTTACATTTTAAAACTCTACCATGAAACTGGTTATGCTTTATGTTATGGGCTGAATGGTATTCCCGCCCAATTCATCTGCTGAATTCTTAGCCCTCAGTACCTGACAATGTGACTGCATTTGGGGATTGGGCCCTTAAAGAGGTGAGTAAAAGAAAATGAGGTCCTATGGATGGGCCCTAATTCAAACTGACTGTTGTTTTTATAAAAAGAAGAGATCAAGCCCTGGCTGGGTGGCTCAGTTGGTTGGTATGTCATCCCATTCACCATAAGGTTGTGAATTCAATTCCATCAGGGCATATGCCTAGGTTGTGGGTTAGATTCTTGCTAGGGCACATATGAGAGGCAACCAATCAATGTTTCTCTAACAATATTTCTATCTCTCTCTAAAAATCAATAAAAACATATCCTTGAGTGGGGATTAATTAGAAACACAGAGAGAGAGAGAGAGAGAGAGAGAGAGAGAGAGAGAGAGAGAGAGAGGAATAAACTATGTGAAGACACAGGGAGAAGACATCTATCTATAAGCCAAGGAGAGAGGCCTCAGAAGAAACCAGCCCTGCAGACACCTTGATCTGGGACTTCTGGCCTCCAGAATTGTGAGAAAATTAAATTCTGTCATTTAAGCCACCCAGTCTGTGGTGCTTTGTTACAGCAGCCCTAGAAAACTGATATACTTTACGACAGTTTAGTAAAGTGGGGGGGAAAATAAAACAACTAGTTGTTTTTTTTTAACAGACTTGTATCCGAGACACTACATCACAAAGACATTATTGTGAGAAACCTCCTGCCATGTGCATCTGAAAGGTCAAATCGATTCTGATGGATACAAACCTATACAGTTTCTGGGTCCAGCAGAGAAGGGCACATATGCGTATGGATGGCGTCCCATCGAATTCTCGGGAAAGAACCGCTCTGGCTTGAACTCCTCAGGGTCTGGGAAGTACTTCGGGTCTCTATGCAGTGCGTAGGGAATGATGAGTATTTGAGAACCTTTCACAATGTTGTACCCCCCTGTCATGAGGCAGTCGATATGTCATGAGAACAGAGCAAGACAGACACAGAAAAGTCCACTCTCCCCACTACTCTCATGAAAGAATTCTCACCAACATCACAATCTTCATTAAGACCACGGGCAATTATAGGCACAGAAGGAAATATACGAAGGGTCTCCTTAATAACACACTCCAGATATTTAAGTTTCTTCAGGTCTTCTAAGGTAACAGGGCGATCAGAATTCCCTGATCAAAGTAAATACATGAAATAAAATAAATGAAAGAACTATTTGGGCTTGGTGGATAAGACATCAAAAAAAGAATATATTATAACATCAATACACTGAATGTTAAATACCAACAGCAAAAGTAAAATTCTTCATAGTATAGATAACCTAAATAAAATGAGACAATAATGCTAAGTAAAAAAAAAAAAGATACAAAAGGTCACATGTTGTATCATTAAATTTGGAGGAAGTACTCAGAGAAGATAAATCCATAGAGACAGAGTGTAAATGAGGTGCTGCCAGGGGCTGGGGGAAGAGAAAATGGGGAGTGGCTGATTAATGGTGCAGGGTTTCCTTTTGGCTGCTGAAATGGGTTGGAATTAGAGGGAGGTGACAGTTGTATAACTTGTGAATGCATGAAACTATAAATTTAAAACATTTAATTTTGAATTATCAGAGCTTCTTTCAGAAGTGTATCTTCTCCTGGGTCAGGTTCCTGGACTCTCCCTATAGCCTGGCCCCCAAATATTCTCCATTTTCTCCTCAGAAAAAAATCCAAATTGCTTCTTGGACTTGCCAAGGGGAGAAAAATCACAGCAGAAACATACTGAGAAAGCAAAACAATGAGACAGACAACTCAATGAACGAGCCAGTGAGAAGATTCTGAAGGCGGACATATAACAAATTCTACCAACCATTGTTTTTCAGAATAAGTAGGAATGATGGCCCAAATCCCACATTTTTGAGCACAACATTTGTACAACCACCTCTATCCTACACTGCGTGGGGAGATGCATGGAAAGGCACTGTGTTATTTAACCAGAGTTGAAGTGACAGAATTGAAAAGTAATAAATCAGGTCACAAAACAGATTTTCATTGCGATAAAAACCCTTCCTTGGAAAATAGTTGTACCCAAAGAAATTCATCTGAGTGCAAGCCGTGATGCATTTTCAAAGTCCACGAAATATCTGGAAAGGATTTGGTGAAATGTTCACAGCCAATGCAGGATAAAGCCAGCAGGAAGAGGCCGAGAAACAAAAATCTGGTTTATGGCCATTCTGATGCAGGTGCAGATAAGTTGGGAGAGATCATCAAAGGTGGTATTTGCCAAAATCCAATTCATTACTACTTGCTTCCTGATATGGAAGATGAAGAAAGGGATGGAGAAGGGAAGAAGATGATGATGGAGGGGGAGAGGGAGAGGATTGAAAGCTACCAACGAAGAAGCTGATGAGGATGAAGGAGACGGTGACTAAGGAACACGGATGGATTCCAACCTTCTTTTTAAAAGTTTCCTCCAGTCACTGGGAGCAAGTTACAGTCTGGGTTTTGTTTTGTTTTGCTTTACTCTTAGGCTCAGTCATTCTGCTCTTGAAGTCTTTTCTCTCCCTTACATCCTGATTCTCAACTTATTTGGAGGGAATACCTTGAGCAGAATACAGTGGGAAAAGAATCTCTAACGCTTTCTGTTCCAAATTCACTTTTTTTCTTTACTTTTAGAAGTATTTTTCCATTGATTTTTAAAATTTATTTTTCTTCATTTATTAAGGTATTACATTTGTGTCCTTATCTCCCCATTGCCCTCCTATGCCCCCACTCATACACTCACCCCCATGTTGTCTGTGTGCATTGGTTAGGCTAATATGCATGCACACAAGTCCAAATTCACTTTTATCCCTTCCTGACTCAACAAACACTATGTGGAAACAATGCCCCTGTGCTCCGTGGGAAAGAAAAACCTTCTGCTTAAATTGCTCCGCTAGAGGCTGGAGCCTCAGCCCGCGCAGTAGTGCACAGAATTCCAGCTTGTTTCCTCCTTTCTCTGGACATTGAGCACACAGATTACACTGTGCCTCTGTGAATGTGGACAGTTAGCATTTACCAACATATACCTGTCTACTTTCTCTTGTATGGAACATTTTTTAAAATTAAAATAAATGGGTTTATAGAAGGTCAAAGGGTAGATATGAGATGTTTGTGTTAGTTAAGTGGGCATTTTGAAAACAAGGCTTCCCCTTTGGTATGTTTAATTGTGATGTTTAATGGACTCTTGCAGTTTAAGATGATACTTTTAAAATAAAATTCTCTCCTAATAGTGGCCTGAGGCTTGCAACTCAATAGGAGAAGAGCGGACCTGCAGAATCTTATTTGGAATTGTCATTCTCTATTGTAATTTTGTTCCTGTTTATGTGATTTTTTTTGTTTGTTTCACTGGAAAGAAAAGATAATGCTCAATTTTAAACATTAAAAATGTACCAGTTGCTTTCTTATACTGAAACTAAATGTGAAGTTTACACCAGTAACAAAACAAAACAAAAAAAGAGGAATTAATGCTTACATCTCAATATCCAAAGATCAGTTGCTCAAAAAATGTTTAGAACTAATACTGGGGATAGAAGAGAAGTGAGGCACAATTAGCAAAAAGCATGAGAAGCAGCCGAATAAAAATTCTAGTAAAAATGGTGTCACTAATCATGTGAGATCCAAAAGCATTTGTGACACCTGCATTGGGCTACAAATTGTAAAAAACACCAACATGGGAACATATTCCAAAAGAACCAGGGTTTTTAGAACACCCAATTTGCCCACCAGAGGCAATCTGAGAGAAATTCAACTTGATACAGGAAAAATGAAATGATGACAGAAACAGAGCCCAGAAGTTTAGATCATCTCCATTCTACAAAACAAAGTCTTCCCTCTTGATGTGAAAATCCAGTCCTCACACCATCTGGACATGAAATTACTTTTCCCACTTTACCTCTCAATGGGTTCTAACAAATGTTCTGAATTCCATCTGTCCTTTGATGCTTACTATTATCTTCCAACTTCTCCACTCTGCCATTGTGCAACTGGAGCCTGTCTTTCCAGAATGTCTTCCACCTCCTCCTCTTTTCCTTTATTATTCCTTCCCCACTTTTTAAAAAATATATTTTATTGATTTTTTACAGAGAGGAAGGGTGAGCTCTAGAGAGTTAGAAACATTTATCAGCTGCCTCCTGCACATCCCCCGCTGGGGATGTGCCCACAACCAAGGTACATGCCCTTGACTGGAATCGAACCCGGGACCTTTTAGTCCACAGGCTGACGCTCTATTCACTGAGCCATACCAGTCAGGGCTATTCCTTCCCCACTTTGCACTAGGAAAATCTATGAGACACTACTTTGTTCGTTGTCCAACCCAACATTTACCTTTCTCTTCCCAGCCACGGGAAGCCATATGACATCTGATTAATCTGATTAAAAAGGATTAAGTTGATGGCACATGCACAGTTCCTCTGTGGTAGGCTGATCATGACCCACAAATATATCAGATCCTAATCCATAGAATATTTAAATATTACTTTTTTGGGGAAAGGTGCTTTTGAAGATTTTATCAAGGATCTTAAAATGGAGAGATGATCGTGGATTATCCAGTTGGGCCATGAATGCCATCACAAATGTTATGATAAGAGGGAGCACAGGAAGATTTGACACACATCCATAGAAGAGAAGACCATGTGAAGATGGACACAGAGATTGGAATGATGTGGCCATAAGCCAAGGTATGTTGGCAGTCACCAGAAGGAATGGATTCTCCCCTCAGGCTTCCAAAAAGTGCAGCCCTGCCAACACATTGATTTAACTCAGAGATACTGATCTGGGCCTTCTGGTGTCCAGAACTGTAAGAGAATAAATTTAGTCTGGAAATGGAAGAAAAGTGATTAAAGTAAAATTAGTATTTGAGCCTAAGAGCAGTCAAAGGAGACTAATATTATCCTTCATCCCCTCCTCCCCTTCTTGCCATAGAGATAAACATGAGACACAGAACAACAATTGAGAAAACAAAATTCACCATGATAAAAATGACAGAGAGAGAGAAAAGAGCAAGCCCAGGATTCTCACAACATCCCTATTGGCATCAACCTAGGACCCCTTACCTACAGGTTACTGGTTGTATAAAAGAAATGTATGTCCCATCAGCTTAAACCACAGCAATCCTATATGGAACAGCTCTCCTTGACCCGCTAACCAGCTTCACCTCTCCTCTCTGCTCTCTGCTAGCCCCTTCTTCCTCATATCGCTCAAGCACACAGCCATGAGTTGATACTTTCTACACAGTGTCTGCTTCACTTGCAGCAGCAAGGTTTTTGAGCACAGTGATATTTATATATGTAGCCCCAGGATCTCCCCTGGTGCAGTCACATGCCAAGCAATCAGCAAACGCCTGTAAACAAATGGATGAGGTCTTGCAAAGGACATTAGGCCTTGAAGGGGTCCCATATAGCAGCCTTCCTGCTTATTACAGTGTCTTTAGAACAGGCCCGACTGCACATTCTTAATGAGCAAGAATGGCATTTGCTTCAGTGCCTTGGGATCTTCAATGTAAGTAGTGAAGGGGCCATACATACCAAACACTTCATCCAGTTCATTGTCTAATTTTTTCTGGACTTCTGGATGCCAACTCAATAGGTACAAGGCCCAGTTTATTCCAGCTGCAGTAGTGTCATGGCCCTACAAATGTAAGAGAAAAAAAAAAGCTTAGAAAGCGGAGTTCTATTGAGAAGGTTAGGGATGGTAACTCTATTTTGAATTGTCTCTGGATTTGACAGCTGTGACGTCACCCCAGACAGAACACGTTAATTTTATACAGTATGTTACCTCGGTGGGGAACAAACCAATGAAACAATCCCTTCAAAGGGGATGCCTCTGGGTACAGGGACATTCAATACGACAGAGTCACATACTTGGTGAGAGTGGCTGGGCTGGGCTAACAGGAGGCATTCCAAGGGCACTCCGTGCGCTGGATTGTTTTTGGGAAAATAAAAGTGTGACTTTCCTGAGCCAAGTGGCCAGATCTGCACTTCTCCACAGTCCCCCATTTGTATGGTTGACTTCACCCGTACTCCAGGGAGCACATGGGTGATTCTGAGCAAGAGTCTCCACATCAAGAAGTTGATAAATTGCCCCATTTAAACCTTGATGAGTTTGAGGCAAAATACCAAACATTTTGCAGAAACGAACTCAATTATTTTTCACAGAAAATCCATGGGGGCCCGTCCGGCGTGGCTCAGTGTTTGAGTATTGACCTATGAACCAGGAGGTCATGGTTCGATTCCTGGTCATGACACATGGGGTTCTGGGCTCAATCCCCAGTAGGGGGCATGCAGGAGGCAGCTAATCAATGATTCTCTCTCATTATTGATGTTTCTGTCTCTCCCTCTCCCTTCAATAAAAATACATTTCTCTGAATCAATAAAAACATATACATATTAAAAATCTCCATGGGATTCTTGATACTGCTATTCACATTTTAGAGATGACAAACTGAGCCCCCAAAAGATGCTAAATGACTTTCCCAGGGCCCGACAGCTTCATAGGAGGTGGAGGCAAGAATAGGACCCTCGGAGTTTCTGATGACAAAGCAGAGTCCACACTCTTCACCTCGGGGAGCGTGGAGGATCCGTGGTGAATAGAGTCCAGCTCCAATACTGAGTGTGACACCCTGGACGACCTTATTCTCTGTCCATTCAGTGTCTTTAGACATCAGCCCCTTATTTCCTGTCCTCATCTTATCAGGACATCCACATACAAAATGGTAAGTTCTTCAGGAAAAAAATGTATTTGAAAAATAAAAGATACTATTATAACTCTTACTGGTCCATTTACCCTATGCAACACAAGGACCATTGTAATATTTCATCTCTTGGGCAGAAGTTCTGAAGCACTTGTTTTAGCTCTAAGTGGAATTGTTGGGGACTTTTCTGCAATTTTCTGATGTTGGCATGATTGTCTTTTCTCATACTTGCAATTTCTTTACAGAAATGACCCTGAAGTCCAGACAAAAGCTAGCCCATGTCACTTGGTTGTGTCATAGAGGACATGCTCTTGCTAAACAATTTTAATAGCTTCCCTTGAATTTGAAAATGAAGTTCCTGTTTTATTTTTTTCTGTGACCCAAAGGCAGAAAACACAAAGCACAGAGCCAACAAGTGCATTGGCGGAACTGCGCAGGGCAAGAATCAGCCAGACCAGGAGCCTAAAAGGCCTGGCACAGACATAGAAGCATGGAACAGATTGTCTGTTCCATCTCAGAGGGAATGAAGGGGTGGGGGTGTGAGGGGGTGGGAAGAGATCAACCAAAGAACTTGTATGCATATATGCATAACCCATGGACACAGACAATAAGGTGGTGAAGGCCTGGGGTGGAGGACAGGAGCAGGCTATAAGGGTTTATTGGGGGAAAACAGGGGACATATGTAGTACTTTTAACAATAAAGATTTTAAAAATAAATAAAATGAAATTTCAAATTAAAATAATAAAATAGAAGGCCTGGCAGCAACAGCCTGCATCCTCTTATGGAGGAGGTCAGAATATTGTAGTTATACATGCTATGCCTACTGTTTCATGAGAAGAAGGAAAAAATCAGAACTTCAAAGAATGTTAGAGATGCAAGAAAGAGATCCTTAGTTTGTTTTTTGTGTGTGTGGAAGTGAGAGGTTACTGGTGGGAGATGGATGTGTATGTGCAGGTGTGAGTGTGTGTATGCATGTGTGGGTGCAGGGGCTACTTCAACATCAGACACCAGCCAATATCTGTTGCACAAGAATGTGCCAGGCACGATGGTTGGTGCACATTAGAAAACTATGCACCTAGTCCTCAGAGCTGTTCTGTGAGGCCCGTGCTATACCAAGGAGGACACAGAAGTCTCAAAAGGGAGAGGAGGTGCCCGAGGTCACACTTCTAGTATAGGTCAGAGCTGGGATTTGGCCCCACAGCCCACTCTTTAGTGAATTAGTTGTCCATTTTCTGCATAATGTTTCTTTTCTATGAAGTGATCTGCTTAAAATAGAAGTTTAAAACCGCTGATATAGTTCATCTTTCCACTTTCCACACAGGGGACTGTGGCAGAGATCTGCAATGACTGGGCCTGTCTCGTATGGCCAGTCAGCACAGACCTGGGAGAGGTCAGGTCTGTAAACCCTTCACATCTCTTGTTTCCTGCTACAGGGCGCAGAACTTCCTCCCTGGGGAGGGACTCAACCCAGGAGGCTGCAGGCAGAGCAAACACAATGCATGCAGTCTGCCATTGAAAACTGATGGTTTTCCCTTTCTTCTATTTCCAGGATATTCCACATGCTGCCTTTTAAAACCATTTTGTAATCTTTACTTGGTAAGCCACATGTTAAGAGGTTTTCTCTTTATAATATTTAATGTAGTTACTAGTAAAATTATCTTTGCAAAAAATTCATCTTTTTACCCAGCCTGTGTGGCTCAGTGGTTGAGTGTTGACCTATGAATCAGGAGGTCACGGTTCAATTCCTCATCAGGGTACATGCAGGAGGCAGCCAATCAGTGATTTTTTTCTCATCATTGATGTTTCTATCTCTCTCTCCCTATCCCTTTCTCTATCTGCCTAAAAAACAATCAATAATACTATGTATTTTTAAATTTGTCTCCTTTTTTAATGTAAAGACCAGAAATTTCCTTGGAATCACAAACTGGTTAAATTCTCTACTAGAAGGAGCTGGGAAGATGGTGGCTGGCAGGATGGAGGTGAGGGAGAGGGTGTGATTGAGTGAGGAATTGACAGGGGAGTGTGTGGACATGTGTAGTGTGTGTGTGCATGAGTGAGGGATAGTTAAATCCGGCAGGAGTATCAGAGGCTGGCAGACCAGGCTCTCCTGGACAGGGAGCCCCTACCACCGCTGAAGGCACTTCCTGGGCTGTGGGGCTCGGGCAGGGAGCCCACGCCATCTTGATGGGGAGAGTGGCCTCCTCTAGGAACTCATGAGCACCACCACCCAGACTGACCTTGAACACGGCCCACAACCCTGCAGCCACACCAGCCAAAGTCCTGCTGCCTCGTCCACAGACCTGCAGACCCTAGGACATCTACCTCCAAGGGCGCATGGCTCCTGTAACAGTAAGTGGGACTTACAGCTTCCCGGCTGCCAACCTCTGGACACCAAGATCACATCAATCCAGTGCACAGGCATCCTGAATTTGCGGCCCTGGCAGATGGCTCTCTGGTGCCTCGTGAGTCACTGCTGGGTGTGCACATATCCAAATAAGGTCGCACAGCCCTGGCAGTAGAAACTCCAACTTCCCCATTCTCGACTGCCTGCCCAGAGACACAGTGATCATGTGGTTTCAGCACACAGGTCCCCTGAGTCTGCCCCCAAGCAGGTGGCTCCAGGGTGCCTCTCTGAGCCACCTCAAGGCATGACCTTGGCTGCCAGCATCCAGTCTCCATGGTAGTGCTGCTCCAGTACATGGGCCCCCTGAGCCACTGCCCTAGCTGACAGCTCCGGGGTGCCTCTGTAAGCTGCCACTGGGCACACATATCCAACCAAGGGCACACAGCTCCCAGAACAGAAACTGGGACTTCTCTCTCCCCCAGTTGGCGGCACACCATGATCTTGCAGCTCCAGCTTGTGGGCCCCACGAGCACACAGCCCCAGCAGATGGCTCCTGGGCCCCTCTGTGAGCTGCCATTGGGCGTGTGCCTCTCCAACGAAGGGCGCAGGGCTCCCTCAACAGGACACATGACATCTCCTTCCCGGCTGCCTACCTCTGGACACCTTGGTGAGTTACTGAGGACCCGCCTCCCCAGAGAAGGTCACATTGTTTCAACCATAGACTCCGAGATTCCTACAACCTGAGCTGTTGGATCCTGAACCCCCTCATCATTCAGAGAGAGAAATCACTTTGGCCAGAGTCCCACTGCCTCAACCACAGGCTACGGTACAGCTGCCCCCACCATCCCAGGCTCCAGGACCCTCATAGTGAGTTACAGAGTGACACTACCCCAGCAAGAGTCACACAACACCAGCCAAAGTAAAAGTACCTGAACCTCAGGCCCCAAGACCCCAAACTCCCTAGCCCATGCACTCTGGGAACTCATAGTGAGCACATACCAGTGAGACCTCAGGCAACCCTTTTCACAAGAGCTGGAACCACGATCATATCCAAAACAGCTTGCACAATGAAACTGGGGGTGAGTCACATTGCCAATCCATGATGAGACTTCATCCAAGTTTAATAAACTAACATTCAAGACCCAACTACATCAAGAGAACTCAAATAGCTCAAGTAGTAGGCTCCACTAGATCACCAAGCTCAGGAGAACTGAGAGACTGCACCACTGGGTCCCAAAAATCATCAGCTACATAGCACCACCCCCAAAACAATCTGGGTAGCAAAGCAGTTGGATCTAAGACATAGAAACAATTAAAACATTACAGCAAAAAATGGGGAGACATAAAAACAATCCCCAGTGGAAAGAAAAAAAGGAATCACCAGAAAGGGAATTAAATGAAATGGAGGCAAGTAATTTATCAGAGAAAGAATTCAGAGTAATGGTTATAAGGATGCTCAAACATCTGGATGATAAATACACACAATTCAATGAGAATTATAAGAAGCTGAATAAGAATGTCACCAACATGAAAAGGAATCAAGAGGAAATGAAGAATGACCTAGCTCCAATAAAGAACACAAAGGAAGGCTTCAACAGCAGAATTGAAGAGGCTGAGTACAACATCAGCAAATTAGAAGACAAGGTAGGAAAAAACACACAAACACAGCAGCAACCAAAAAAAAAAAAAAAACTTAAAAAGCAGGAGGTGAGCCTAAGGGAGCTTTGGGACAACAAGAAAGGAAACAACATCCGCATAATAGGGGTGCGAGAAGGAGAGGAGGTGGAGAAAGGAATAGAAAACCAGTTTGAAGAAATAATGACAGAAAACTTCCCTGATGTTGGGAAGAAAAAAAAACCATCCAAGTCTACAGCTTTTTCTGAAGAAGAAAGTTGATCTGGTATTTATAGGGTCTTAAACTTTGTAATTTCTAACTACAATATAATGACTCTTCATCAGTTATAACAAGTACTTCAAAATGTGATCAGACTTTTAAAAAATGCTAAAAACTTTTTAAAAGAATTCCTATGAATTGATTATTTTTAAGTTAAAAATAAATTGAGAACAGATCATCATACCAAGAATCCCAAAATATTTTAAAAGAAGGCTACAAATAATCCTTGCTATTTCATGTTATTTCTAATTTTACTATTAAATGCTTAAACATGTCTAAGTATTAGTGCTGGCTATTTCTTCATCCTTAGCTGTTTTAACTCCCAATATTAATTTTTTAAAAATAATTTTCTTGTTATATAACAGGAACTGTAAATTGTTTAATGATGATACCTGAGACTAACATGACAACACAAAATACCTCAAACATAAAAGTGTCCACTTCTTCTCGAATAGCCTCCAGGCTTAGCTTGTTCCCTTCATCATCCATCACATTTAAAAGCAGGTCGAGAAAAGCCTTGCGTTTTCTGTTGGAGAGGGTCATGCCTTTGTCATCACTTTTACCTTCTTCATCTCTCTTTATTTCATTGGCCCGTTCATTGATGACCTGTATGAATGAAATGATCACATGCTTTTGTGTGGAATTTGATATGGCCTAATAATCCATTTTCCTGTGAAAATATACTAGCTTCTTTAACTGGTTTTTTCTAAGCCATTCCTGTTCTGTCCGACTCAACAGGAACTTAGGTTTTTTGAAAATATAGTAAAGCTTTCTATGAGCATTTTTAGGGCGTTATTTGATAAGATTTTTAAAAACAAATTTAATGTGAGACAAATACATCATTTCTAAGGACTATTTGTGCAGCCTTTCCAACATAGGAATATAGTAGTAGTCTCCTGAATAGGGCCCAGCGAGTTGAAAGAACTCATGACAAAAAGTTGGGTGGTGGAGAGAACACAATCTATAGAATAAAAACCCAATGGTTTTAAAGCCATAACGACAAAGACCGGTTACCAGGAGGTGCCTTGTTGCTGTGTCCCACAGCACCAGCGGGACTTGACTCTGGGTCCCAGGGCTCACTGGTTCTGGCTCTCACGCAATCTCCCATGCTGGGCCCCTAGTCATTATATAATAGATTAATTATAGATCATTCTAATTACGTGTTGTATTGGAGAAAAGAATCACCATGTATGCTTGCCACTCCTTCTGCTAGAATATTCTTGCCTCAGAAGCCAGCATGACTAGCTTCCACCCTAGTTTTAGAGCTCTGGTTCCCATTGTCACACTGTCAGGGTCACTGCTACCCTAGTCCCTAGCACTCACTCTCTTCCTAAGCCTACTTTACCTTTTTTCCATTTCACTTACCACCTGGCATTGTATTTGTTATTTAGTTCCTTTCGCCTCCAACTTTAATGTAGCAGAAAATTTGACTTTATACATTGATATTTTTCTAACCTTTAGAACACTGTGTGGCATTTAAAAAATGTTCATCAGGTATGTTTTGAATGAATAAAAGAATGAAAGCCCCTGAGCTTAATTTGGTTAAACATTTCCACTTTCTTTTTTTTAAAATATTTTTTATTGATTTTTCACAGAGAGGAAGGGAGAGGGATAGAGAGTTAGAAACATCGATGAGAGAGAAACATCGACCAGCTGCCTCCTGCACATCTTCCACTGGGGATGTGCCCACAACCAATGTACATGCCCTTGACCGGAATCGAACCTGGGACCCTTCAGTCTGCAGGCCGATGCTCTATCCACTGAGCCAAACCGGTTTGGCAAACATATTCGAGTTTCTCCTCCTTTCAAGCAATTGTCCAAACCTGCTTCTGCTTTGAATGAGCAGACCCCAAGTTCAGTAAAGAGAAGCACCATGTCCTCTCTTTGATTCTTGGTGGAACCCCTAGTGCCTGGCACTCAGTATGCAATTTTTGATAATATCCATCCAGTTTGGAATTCATTCATTATTGATACTGATATTAATGCATGAAATTTGAAGACAAGTGTAATTATACCCATAAAATACAAACTGTTCACCATTCACCTCTTGCCAGACAATTATGCTATACTCCACTGAGGGCAGCTCACTCCAACATCTCAGTCATCTAACATCTAGGGACTCTAACAACTTGATCTGTTGGTGGAGGCGGTACCTCATGGTCAGGAAGCAAGGCCATCATGTTTTAAACTAAAATTTACAGCAAAGGATAAATATAATTACTTGACCACTTTTATCTGTACATTTAAATTATAATGCATGTTTTCAATTAAAGTTTGCCTTTAATATACATAATTTTAACACAAAGACAGACTATATCCAGAACATTACTATTTCCTTGTCATTAAAAATTAAATAGTACTATCTAGTTAATTTTTATCTTTTCCAGTTTAAGATACTGCTATAAATGCCCTTTGTCTTTGAAAACCATTGCCTAATCCAAACATTTTTCAGAATATTCTTATAACACAGAAACCTGTATCTTTATTCCCTTAGCATAGCACCCAGTTTGTTAATAAACTACCATCGCTCATATCACATTTTGTAATTATTTATTTATAGACAACTTCCCCCAGTAGATGAACCTCCCCCAGTAGGGAACATTAATGACTGTGTATGTTAACAAACATAGGAGTCATGCACTTATAAAAGTTCTAGAAAGTATAGTGGTAGGGGTTGCACAACATTGTTAATGCCCCTAATGCCACTGAATGGCACACTTAAAATGGCTATTATGATAAATTTTATGTTATGTATGTTTGTCCACAATAAAAAAAGTGAGGACTTACATTGGTGGTAAAATTATGTAAGATCTTTAGGTTCCTTCTGTGGTCCCTTCCTTCCTTAAACAAAAGGTACAAAACGTCATGCCAGAACCAAATCCTCTTCATTCTTCGATGTATCAAGTCACTCATCCTATAAACAGGATGCAAATGTATCAGCTGATATATCAAAAATGTGCATTGCTTGAGTACCTATTTGATGCCTGATCTCAATGAGGATAATATGTAGCAACGATAATAATTCATCTTAGTGGCTACTTAGAGCTCTATGCTTTATGCTCAAAAATGAAGGCATGGTTTATTATACATCCAAGGAAGCTTAAAAATTAAATGGGTCCTTTAGAAAATGAAGAATGCATTGCAAAACATCCTTACTAGATGGCCATCTGATCTCTCCTTCTATTTCTCCAGGAAGAGTTCCAGACCTCCCCGAGCTGCCTGTAGCTCTTATACCACAGGGTGGGATGAAATCTGCCTGTTTAATGTCCACGCATTTGCTTGATCACTCCTCTGGCTGTCCTCTTCTCCAGTAAAGTGCCCCCCTGTCACATCACTGTCCCGAGTCCCTCCCTCAACATTTCCAGTGATGGAGCAGAGAGCCTAGATATGATCTCCTTTGAGAGCAGCTTACAGGTCAAT